CGGGCGCGCAGGAGACAATTAGAACGGATTCCGAGCCGGAGTTTGCGGTTTTTCGCCCGTGGCGCCCAGTTTTGCCGAGTATGTGTTGCTGCTGCTGTTGTTGTTGTGGGTGCCGTGTAGCCTTGAATCGTGTATAGGTCATCCATCCATTGTTGCAAACAGGTGCGCGGAATGAGCGCAGGGAGCGAAAACGGCTGCAATTACGGGACACGCGCCGCGCAAACCGATGCCAAAGTTGCGCTCCGGCACCTCCCTTTCATGCATTCATTGATTGTTGTAGCTACACACAGGCAAGGCGTCCAGGGTAGATCTCGTCTATAGAGATAAGCTGCCTTGTCGTTGTCGAACTCAGCTTGAATGGTGGACCACCGGAGGCATAAAGTTCACTCTGGCTTCATCGTGAGACGGTGCCGGCTTCAAGTGACGACTGGTGCTCATGGCGCTGCGCTACGAACCCCGGCGACCCGAGTTCAGTGGCCGCTCACGACCAATGACAGTGGCGAATATTTGAACCGGTCCTGGACCTCCCCTATTATGTCGACTCAGCCTTGAATGAGTACTTACCTGGTGCTGTGTGTAAAACATGAGCAGCGGGGAGACCAAGACGACCGGGCGTGGTGTTGCTGCCCCCCCCCCCTCCACGTCACCCCGCCCAGCCACCCCCGCCGCTCGCAGACGTGTTAACGCCATACAGGGATATCTTAATAACAACTGCACACACGTATATATATTTAAACCTGTCTCTCTTATGAATGACGTGTAATTAACTCGTAATTGCAGCAGCCGCTCAACGCGACAAGCAAAACAACGTCGCGTTGTGAGCGCGCGACTCGTTGCTGATGCGTTTCCCTCTGTGATTTACACAAAAAATTAAAATAAAGAGCGCAAGACAAGGAACTGGTCTCTGTCTCTCTCTCTCTCTGTTGCGCGTCGAAAACTTACTCGGCCGCGTCGACGAAGGACGCGAAGCAATTCCGCTGTGCGCTCGCTCGCCTTGTGTTCGTGCGCGCTCATTCAGACGCACAGAGAAGATGCAAATGTGGTCACTCACTCACTCACTCACGCGCGTGAGCGTTAGTGGCGTGGCGTGGCACGCGTGGCTCGTGCCGCGTGGAGGTGTAAGTGCACACAGGTGCACTCGGGGAAAAAAAATGGTCATGCTGACATCTATAGGGCATCCAGCGGCGCCTTCAATAATGGGCGTGCATGAAGCGCCTTCAACAAAACCAGAAAAGAAAAATCAATCCCCCCTTGGTGCCCCCGCAATTGCTTTGACTAGCGGAGCCCCCTCCCCCACTCGCCCCCCCCCCCCACACACGCAATAGTTCGTCCATCTCGCCCAACCTCGACATCGCAGCTCCATAACAAAGATAAAGACCCCCCCCCCATCCCGTATAGCCTTATCAGACTATTGGGGCAAGTGTTGTTAGCGAGCACCCATGGAGGTCGGCACGAAACAGCGAGGGGCCTGGTGGCCAAAACCACCTCCGGCCGCCTTTGTCTCCCTAGTTGCGATGTTTACACACCGCACTAGGTACTCATTTGATGCTGAGTCGACCTAGGGGAGGCCCAGGACCGGTTTAGCTAATGTTCACTGGTGTTGGCCACGAGCGGGAATCAATCTCGGGTCGCCAGGTTTGTAGCGCAGCGCGCTAACCACTGCACTACCGCTCCATAACAGCACCCACCCCCACCCCACAACTTTTCCCATCCCCCAGTAAACCTCACCCTGCTACTAGCAGCATCCTTCCCCCTCCACCCTCACCTCCTCCGCTACCCCGTGCACCTCTGCACCCCCCCCACTCCCATCGACATTACCGCCCCCTTCGACCGCCGTACCCTGTACAGCACCTCCCCTTGTGTCGAGCGAGGCGGGCGGTGCGCAATGTGGATGAACGATGGAGGTGGTGGGTTGCTCTGGGGGTACCGGGAAGGGGGGGGTGGTGGTGGGAGAGGGGAGGAAGGTGTCTGCGAGTTAATAACCGGAGGGCAGAGGGGCCCGTGCAGATCGGTGGCCCCTACCGGCGACGCATCGCACGGGAGAGGCCGCAGAGAGGGGGGTCACCTGCACCGCGCCGCGCGCACAGCTGCCCGAGCGGGACGGGGGCTTCTCCCTCCCGAGGAAGGCCGGCGGCCGCAATCCCCGTTGCCGCGCCTCCTCCACGCAGACAGAGAACGAATGCTCCTCGTCTCGTTCAACCGCCCTCTCTCATAACCCAGTCGCCGGGCGTTGCGTTTCACGTGTCCCTTGATAAACACACATCGGGTGGAGCAAGCAGACAGCGCGTCGACTGTTGCTGCATGTTTGTATATATATAGACGTACATTATATACACGCTTGGGGAAAGACAGCGGCGGATCGGAGATGCCTTCATCCAGCAGTGGTTTCACCATGGCACATGCTGACGAGAGACACGCACGCACGCACACACGCACGCACGCAAATACGCACAAACACGCGTCGTGGCGTGCTCGTGTGCAGGAAGCGTTTGGACGGAGCGGATGAGCTCGCGGAAACTGCACGGCGGAGACCGCCGTTCGTGAAGCAATGAATCGACACCCGGTGAATCTGGGACAGAAAAAAAGAACCCCCCCCCACCCCCCACTGCGTAGCATCTGTCATCTGTCTATGCCTCCATTCGTCCGCTCCTGCTCGCTCGCTCGCTCGCGCGCGCTACTGGCACCGAGCGAGGTCCGTTCGAGGGGCCGGTGCGCTCCGTGTCGCCACTCATCAGCGGCGCTGAGTGTGGGCCGCTACCTGTTGGAGCCATCGCACCTGGCGCCTCGTGCGCGATGTTCCACGCGGGTTGAGCGGACCCTGCGCGCGAGTTGTGTGTCCGTCCGTGTCCTTCACAACAAAAAAGGGGCGCAAATTCGTGCCGAGATCCCGGCACGGCACGAGTCCATTCGCACCCTCCGCGCAGTGCCACACGCCGCGCTACCACACCACAGTGGTCTACTACAATGACACATTGCCCTTGAGCAATCCACTGCTGGATGAGGGCTTCACCACGCTGTGGCAGTCGGGATTGTTGAGGATACCTCGCCACGCTGGTCAGTGTGGCCTGGCAAAGGGGCTGTTGATGAGGCGGAGGGGTGGGTGGGGGTGGGTGGGGGAGGCGGAGGAGGTGGAGGGGCTTTGACCGGTTCAGATATCAATCGCCGCCACTGACGTGAGCCGTTGTCGGGAATCGCACTCGCAGCGGCGCGATGACCATCGCGCCGCTGCGAGTAGCTGACTGAAGGCGCGCGCGTGTGTATATTTGATGAGAACCGCAGCGTAAACGGGAACTCATCTAGTCCCGTCGCTGCTAAGTTATCCGTAGTCCGTAGTACACGCGAGCCTGACACGCGCGCACTATATATATGTTTGTGTGTATAGTACATGCTGTTTATACGCATGATCACATTTTAAACGAACGCTGCTGTAGCTAGAGGCCCGTGCGCGTTGATAACTGCGGGTAGTAGTATTTCTGTTGATGATGTCCGCAGCGGGATTCTTTCTTGTCCGTCCGTGCTGGAACGCGCGGTTAATGAATCGACAGATGACCGTCGTTTGTATCTCCTAGAACTCCCGTACACGTGTGCGTGCGTGCGTGTGTAGACAACTTCCTTTTTCAAATGTAAAGCGCCGGTGTTTCAGCACGTTTGGGCGGCTCGATTCATTGTAATTGCCTTCCATATCCACCCCGTTCTGCTCGAGGTTCGTTGACGTAGCCCTGGCTCAAACGATCCAAAACGCGCACAAGCGAGATGGACATACCAGCCCTTAACATGTCTAAATAACATGTCACAAGTCGTGGTGTAACACACGCGTTAGTATTTAGGTGACGGGCGCAGAATATTCGGAATTTACTTCACGTCTCATTTGATTTATAATCGGAAAATGTGCAGCTTCATAAATAGCGATATATCAACGTTACGAACTACTGTCTTAGGTCGCAAAGTATTGGCGTTTCTTATACCCTTAACGTATGTATGTACCTATTCAATTTAATTTTCAAATGCGAAGTTTGTAATAAGTTCCGAATTGCAAACGAAAAACGGATTTGTATATAGAAGTGTGTGGCGCATTCAAGGTAACGTGTCCGTAACGTATCAGAGTTAAAGTCGGACTAAACGTCAACGCGTGGGAATCGTCATACGTGTATGATGTGTGTACGCATTACGCACTTACCTGCACAAGATGTACTCAATGTAGCTTGCCAGCTGCCTTAGATGTACTGTTTATCATGCCGAATTAGGGATATGCAACATTAACTTTATCTAAATGCATGACGTAACCGTAAAAATGTTTTATGTAATGGTCGGGTATGATTTATCTCAACTATTAGTATTTAACAAACCTAAAATCCTGTAATATTGCGTTGGCAGTGATGCACGAGCATAAATAACAAAATCCCAACATATGCGGCAATTATCATACTGCCGTAAAATGGGTGTAGGGGACCTATGATAAAATACAACAGCTGACGTTTCGGGCAGTAGTCCTTCTCCCGTGTTCATGGCAGTGTTCGTGACGGATGTGTTAACATTTACAAACTATTTTTCTGACATGGACAAGCCAATTCGCAGACGGTAGAGTTCACGTGTACGAAAATGAGTGAATTAGATTTATCCGCATACTTGACAGTGTTTGGTTGCTTCGTTATTTGAACGAAATTCCCTTGCCCGTACCATAGGTATATATATATAAAACGTATAGGGCGTGCGCGTGTGTATATGTGTATGTGGATTATTGTGATTTTTTTAAGGAAAAGATACGTGCGTGTTTTGTTGACGACTTGACAATTGCCAACTTCGCAGTACAGTCTATACGCGTCCTCCCGTGACAGTACTCATATCGGGACCTCTCTGCTGGCATCCGTCCTTGGGAAGCGAGAACACAACCCACACACCGGCTTGAGGACGACTCGCTGTGCAAGGAGGAGCTCGTATAAAATAAGACAAACGAATGCAACGTTGATTGAATTGTTTTTTTTTATATATTTATGCGGTTATGTACATTTTTGCCTGAAATTTATGTTGCAATGTATATATAAAAAAAACGAACGTCGGGTGATTCCACATTTGTCCTTTTTGTAACGAGTCGAGGAATAAAACAACTCCCCGCTCTTAACACTTGTCTGTTGTTGTTTAAGAGTGTCGCGTTTCGCAAGTGACTGCGTGTGTGCGTGTGAGCCCAGCAATCATCGCGTGGCGGCGAACTTAGAACCGTGGCCACACCGCGCACGTGCCCTGCCCCACGTGGCGTCACCCCCACACACTCCCCACCCCCCAGACACGCGGACAGAACGGGACCATTGCCCTACTCACTTCTCGTGCTACTCCGTCTCCCCTCTCTCTCTCTCACGAGTTCACATCATCGTCACTGTGGAATATCACGGGGCTTAGGTGGTTGGTGGTCGATTGGAGAGACGAAATGTGCTATGAGCTCGCGTTCTCGATGGACTTGACCCTTGCATGAGTGCGCGACAACAAATGTTCAGACTTACTGCTGAAATGGGAGAGATGAAACTTATTGACGGAACGATGGATGGGGGGGGGGGGGGGTAGAGGAGGAGGAGGAAGAGGTGATGGGTTGAGTGGTAGACGATGGGTGTGGGAGTTCGGTGACAATGTACGTATCACCTCGCATATGTACAACACTGTGGGTTATTTTTGTTATATGCACTGTTCACGCGGGGGTGGGGAAGGGGGGAGGGGGGAGTTGAAAATAAAAACGAGTGAACACGAGAAGGAAGGAACAACACTGTATCCCTACGTACAGCTTCCATATATTTGACACAAACTGTTTGGACACGCACCGGAGACTGGGCCACGAACCGTCGAATGGGTGAAACCTCTCACCACGTGCACGTAGCGTCAGCATCGTCATCATCATCATGTCAAGTCGCCCCATAGCCAAAAAGCTGGCGTGTTATTGTACGGTCTGTTCAAATACGTGTGTGTATATATATAGAACGCCGATTCCTCGCGAAAGTTACACTTTCTCGGTAAAAGTTCATTGTACACTGATTGTAATCCTGTGTGTATATATACTGCGCTTTTACAAGTGCTGGGGTGTTAGTATGTACAGCGAAGAACAGCAACAAGCATCGCGCGCGCCGTTAACCGGGGTGGCCGATTGATTTGCGGGTTTTTTCCCCCTTTCTCATTAAAACTCTTTGTCAGCGTAAAGGGTGGCTCGTCATTTTTTTCTTTATTTAGTTTTTTTTTTAAACCATTCGGAAACAAAGCAGCGACTTAAAATTGCACTTCGCCAAAGTCATTCATCATAATAATAATACAGAGCACTGGTAAGGTTGGATTGCGTTGGCCATGACGCTCCCCGTACCTCTTTTAATTTTCCCTTCCAACGAAACTCGCCACCTCGTTTAGCACTCACCCTATACAGTATACACAGTCCGTCGAAGGGCAGTTTGGGGTCAGAGCAACGTTGTATCTCAATATAAATATACGCATATACTGTATATATACACGTGTTTTGGCGCATGTATATATGCACTATATATATAAAATAACTATGAATTCGTAAATGAGTTAAGAGCTAATTATAAGTTAAGCGGTGCGTTGGTTTAATTCATTGATTAGCCCCCGGTCAGATATTTCAGCAAACTCTCTGTGCGTTGAAATTAAATACAGTACAGCGGGTTTAATTCATGTGCAGTTGTCACTGAAGCATGGACACGCGTGTGAGCGTGGCCTGTCCCAACCCCGCGTGTGTCCGCGCGTTTGTGTTCAAAGCGAATTGAAGCGACACTGGGTCCCGTTGTTTTCAGGGCTTAATTTCAACCGGAGTTCTACGGGGCTGAGCTCCGGAAAATAGTATTTCCCATAGCAGAGGATGGGGGGGGGGGGGCAAGAGGTGGTGGGGGGGGGGGGGGTCCGGGGTTGAGGGCTCCCTGGAAAATATTCCTTGAGAAATTAAGCCCTGCACGTTTGTGGACAATGTCGCCTGTAATACAGTATACTGCATTTGCGTGCACCTCCAACAGCCGGGGTCATATGCACCATGGCCAGTGGAACGAAGCCGATGTGATGTGTAAATGCGACTGCCCTGGCCGTAAATATGAACTGCAACGCATAATTAAAGGAGGGGGGGTGTCGGCCGAGACGACACGGCGAGACGAAAACAGATTCCTCTTGAGTTGATTTTAAATGTCCGGGGTTAAGTGTTTTGACTAAAACGTTGTTGAGTCTTGAGACCATCAAACACGGGCGCGCGCAGAGATCCACCAGGACGACGACGACAAGGACGACGCCGCGGTCTCAGAAGGGAAGCGTATCCAGAAAGAGCTTGTCCAGAATCGGGGGCGGAGGGACCAGGTCTTCGAGCTTGAGGTAAAAGATGCGCTGCAGGCCCTGTGTGCACAAAGTGCGCAGCTCGGGCAGCTTGCCCAGCAGGCGAGACAGGTAGGCGGGCCGTCCGGCCGCCGGGGTGCTGAACGCCACGTGGTCCTTGAGGCAATTTACGAGTCTCGTCTGTAGCTCCTCCACCCGCTTGGGCTCCTTGAGGCCGTGGCGCTCTGCACAGGGGGAGAAGGGACGGGGTTGGGGTTAAGGTTGGGCACCACGTGGACTGCGGAGAGAGAGGACGGAGGGAGAAGCACACCCCCCCCCCCAGTCCACGAGACCTCCATCGCCACCACCACGCAAGGCTCGTGATGGAATTGAGAAAGAGCGGGGACTTTTGGCTTCGAAGATGACTCATAAGAGATCAAGAAGCTATGTTGGCGGTGGTGCAACATCACACGTAAATCGAGATTTTCACGACAATTAATATCGCGAAAACGAATTTCAGCATGTTTTGCATGTCAAGATGTCATCACCATCCTTGCAAATACAAACACGGAGTTGTGATTGCATTGCAAAAACAAGTAAGCTGCAGAAGAACGGCGGGGTTTCACGATAATGAGGACCCATCAGTACAGAATATGCACCAATGGCTAATGCTTCTATTTTGTTGTGTTGGTAGGTTCTGATGTTGAGGACGCCTATTTGCGTAGCTTACCACTTGTTTCTGGACTGCAAGCATTTCTACGACTGCTGAATTGCACCTTAGAAAGTGCTTGAATTGCAATAATTAACAAACTCAAAACGATGGTAATTAACTGCTGGAAAAGTGTTCGGTCAATTGGCCTTTTATTTTCGTGTAGAGACGGGAGCGGCCAGTTAGGACTACTTGTGTTGCATACAAAAAAAAGCTATCACGTTAACACGTGCACTGCATTGAAGCAACCACCGGGTGTGCACGTGGTCCAGGAGGATGAATTTGCATTCGATTGGAGAAGATCGGCAAACGCGACGAAGGCTGCACCGCGCGAGAAGGAAGAGCGCTGGCCATGATTGGAGCCGAGAGGCGGTGCAGAGTGGGTGGGCAATGAAGGGAGATGATTAATTGAGCTGTGGAAATCTCTGGGCTCCGTGTGAACCGTGACGTGTGAGCCCTGCATGCGCTCACCGTCGCATAAACAATAGCTCATACAATCTGCGAGGTCCACTGTGAGTGTTACGTTTGGCTAGACGTCTCCATTGTTCTATGTTCTCGATACCATCCGCGTCAAGGGTGGATAACCATTGCACAGGACAAGAGGAACGATGTGGGGTGTTTTGTTGATTTACCTTTACAACTGGATGAAGTTAGACACACCTGGCGTGCATTATGACTATAACACACACACGTTGTTTAGGTGCTCTGTCTCACAAACGAGACCCGCGATTTGCCATTGAGAATCAACGACAAAACCCACACACCCCTCCCCCACCTACCCACTCACCCCCCCCCCCCATGTCATTACACCTCGGCGTGTGTTATTTGCCGAACAACAGCTGTGCGCGACGTGAAAATCATGCACAACTGGTTTTGCATATTTAATGTCGAGGCTACTATACTGGCCAATTTATGATAAGCCTAATCACCATCATCGTCATCCTCATGGTCATCAGCAAGACGAGCAGCAGTTATCCATTGTTTTACCCATTGCTCCGTGAAGGCCTAACCATCCACACGCAAGCCACGAGCTCTCTCACCGGAGACAAGTTTCTCACGATAACTTCATTGTGGGTGCTTACGTGTTGGTCTCGCGATAGTGTAGCGGTTAGCGCAATGCGCTACGAACCCGGCGACACGAGTTTGATTCCCGCTCACGGCCAACACCGGTGACGATTATCTGAACCGGTCCCAGGCCTCTCCTAGGTCGACTCAGCCTCAAATGAGTACCTGGTGCGGTGTGTAAACACATTGCCACTAGGGAGACAAAGGCGGTCGGGCGTGGTGCTGGCCACCCACCCCCTCGTGTACCGTTCCGGCCTTCATAGGTGCTCGCTAACAGCACTTGCCCCTACAGTCTGTTAAGGCTATTTGGGGGATCTTTGTTGATCTTTGTTGTCTCGCGATTAGACCGTGCGCCTACTACACGAAGCATGTGCGGTGCTGTACGTCGATGGTGCAGGAGCCACGTTATCGATGCATTGCTGCATGAGCGGCTCTCCACGCCGTTGCTGACCGTCTGGGGTCAAATTTCGATGTAAAGCTTCTTTCGTGACTGCAGGGATTCATCTTCTTGGTTCTTTCGGTAAAGTTACGTAGAATGGAAATAATAAAAGAATAATAAAACATAATAAAATAATGTCGAGAAGCGAAGACAGACCTGTTCTCCACCTGAGGACGGCTGCTTGCGTTGTGGCCGAAACGTCGTGAGAATAATTTAATTATGTTTTCTTTTTATTATTTTATTATTTCCATTTACCGAAAGAACCAAGAATACGTCTGGGGTTAATTGACCGTAAATTCACCCCGCTTTGTCAATGCGGGTTGGTGAGGAAGGTGAATGATGCCTGTTGTTGCACTGCCCCCATGCATCCCACCACGTCGCCCCATATAACGACAACCTCCTGTGTCGAGGTGCTCACCCATCCAAGCACTCGCCTAAGATGAGCGCGTTTGCCTACGTTACGGTGCGAAAGAAATTTAACATACGTACATACATAGCCCAGTGTCCCTATCTTGCTTAGCTTCCGAGCTCTTACGAGATCATGGCCCATGGGACATGTGTTGTAGGGACATACCATGAATTGAAAGTCCTCTGATGTCAGTCATAGCGAATGAGTAGTGACCACAAACAAACACGTGACCACCGACAAAAAGGCTTGTGACGTCACGTGTGTACGCGCACTCTATTGGTGTGACGCCGTGTTGCGCTGGGCGTGGCCTCATTGGTCATCGGCCGTCCAATCTGAATAATTTGAGCACGTGGAATGTATTGCCCGGTATAATTGTAAGCATGTTGTGAAATAATTGCACGTTGGTTCGTCGTCCATTTGCACACGAAAGCGACGAGCCAAGTTCGATTTTCGGCCTCGGCTGACATCAGTTGGCTTCGCGTCCCATCGCCGCCCCCGACCAACTAAAACCACCCACTCGCCCGTCCACCAACTCACAGTGAACAGTGCAGTGAAACTTGCTCAAACAATACCCCCCCTGACCGGCACGGTGTGGGGGGAGGCCATCATCTAGCAGTGGATTGAGATAGAGAGAGAGAGGCTGAACATATCGCGCAATGAGCGGGAGCCCCAACGTATTTAGACTCCTCCGCTAACAACTTGAACGATCACTTAACACACAAGGCCAATGCCACTACAGCTTCATTGGTGGCCGGCTGCAGCGTTGCTCAGTAACTATCAAAAGATGGGCACATTTTAATCGGAGGGTCACAGCCCGCGAAGACCAGCGATTTATTTAGTAAGCATTTAATATTGCTTAGCTTGCGTATCTATCTAATGACGAAACAGTAGAAAAGACAATACAGAGTGGTGTCACGTTGCTTAGAATTCCAACGCGCGCATTTATTTATTTATTTACACGGGCGACGATTTGGCTGGAATGCAGTTTTCACACCTAAGGCTCTTGACCGCGTAGATTAATTGGCATTGCGAGTATCACCTGGGCATGTGTTAACCCAGGTGACAACATGGCGAGGGATCAATTAGAACGATTCAATTGCACAAAATACCGCGGCGAGCCGAACTCGCGGCCGCTTATTTAATTCGCACAGTAACGCAACCGATGACGCCCTCGTCAACATTCTTCTGTTCGTGGATCTCCAGAGAGGGGAAGGAACGCTCTTGAGGAAGGGGGGAGGGACCACCTATGTAGAGATGGAGCGGTGACGTCAACGTATGTACGGTTGTGACGTGAAATGACCGGCACCGGCACACGACTGTGGACAGTGGCGTCGGCACGGATATATATATATATAATTTATAAAGGGCAGCATGGGATTTGAGGTTGGATCGTGTGGATGATCAAGCCCTGATTTTGTGTGGAGCCTAAACGGTACCCTAATATTCGCTTACTGCTTAATACCGAATTGCAAAGGATAGAATTAAGATGCAATTCCTTGCATGGCTACTTTATCTATTAGGCAACAGTAATAACGACAACAAAACATCTCCCAGACAAGCCGATCTAAAATAGATGCGTCCGCAATAAATGCTCCGTGCACAACAACGTACGCTTACGTTTTACGCGCTTATTAAATAAAACGCGACTGCGAGCCGGCGACAAGGCTAAATCAAAATCGGTATGCGGAATGATATCCGAATTTGTTTCATGTTGGTGCTGTTTTTTTTCTACTCACGCCCAGCACACTAAGTCATTTGACCAAACGCTACGAGACGGTAAACACGCAGCGGCATCAGCAACAGTATATAGATATCAACTGAATGATAATACAATGGTGCAGCACAGGAACAAATTGGTAGTAATTATGTTTTGTAACAAATTTGAGCGCTTCATAAATATTCATGGCGAGCCGGGGTCCCGGCAGGATAGTGAAAAGCACAAACAAAAGTCGCGAATGAGCGGCGGCTCGCCTCGCCTGGGGACTGCGCGACCCACATTACCGCAATTCGTACATTAGCATGCCATTAATTTACAATTACATCGCACGGCGACTGTTGAGATATTTGCCGAGTGTGTTTAACTCGGTCTTCAATTACGAACGATGCAAGGTCGCCCACAAAATTTCGGAAATGCCACAATATGAGACTTGCCGGGATCATTAGGCATGGTGCAGTGGATATTGGAGAAGAAGGCGAGGGAGATGGTTTTTAAACCCACACCCCCCCCGCCTCGCCTGCTCGCATCCGCTGTGCGATGCACCCACCACCCCCCTAATTAGCGCGCCGCCAATGCGCTCCGAGTTCAGGCCACCGCGGCCGTGCGGATTGAGTCATTAGTTGCGAATTGTTTTAAATACTTAAAGATTGTTTAATGACACTTTTCCGAATGATTGCTTGCTGCCAGTACCCTAGGCTACCGATAACCTATAGTTGCATCCGCCCCCCCTCCCCCCGGGCCCATCATCCCCCTCGCCGCCCCCCCCCCCCCCCGCTATTTAACGCGTATCGAATGTAAATGATCCTGCCTCGCTCGCAAGGATGATGGAAATCGGCTCGGCTCTTTTCGCCCTTAGGCTCGCCGTCCATCGTTCCCGAACGTATTTGGGAGTCAATATCACCGTGGCCATGAAAAAAATACAAATACAAGGTAGAAAAGAGGCGACGTGTCGGGTAATGACCCTTTCTCAAAGAGACGTAGAGTGATCTTGACTTAAAGCTTTCCTAACTGCAGGAATTCATATTCTTTGGGCCTTTCGGTAAAGTCACGTAGATAGGTTCAAAGAAAATAACAAAAATAACAACAAAATACGACGTTTCGATTTCTTGCGTTACGATCGAAACGTCGTAGTTTTTGTTATTTTTGTTATTTTCTTTGAACCTATCTACGTGACTTACCGAAAGACCCAAAGAAGAGGTCGAGTCATTATATTAACTATATTTTCATTTTTAAAGCAGCGTTGATTTTGTTATTCGTGCTCGTGCACCACCGCCACCTCAGGCAGCAGCAGCATCACCGGCAAATAATTCGATGTAGGATCGACGCGTTTGATTGGCTTCGTTTGCGGTTCTCGTACTGGGCCGTGCCAACGCCCAGCACGACGACAGTGCCTCGTGGGCTTGTCTGAGAGACGTCACCCACGCTGGCGGGGAGAAACGCGGCTTGCTACCCACACGGCAAATATACACCACGCTGGTACGGCTATGCTGTCCATCTACTCGACAATACAATGCCACCGTTACTCTATCCGCAGTTAGCTAGAGGTGCACGTGGGCTATACCAATGCAGCATTTCCATCACGTGACAATAGTGTGTGTGTGTGTGCAGGACCATACACACGACACGCATTTGCGTTATTTAGACAGTGTAGTGTGCAGCGGTGTACGTAGAGTACAGCACGCCCAGGATATCTCCCGTGTGTTTATACTTATCATTGGTTAGGGTCATCGTTAAGATCTATGAATGCGCCACGTGCCATTCACTCCCTATTGTGTGTTGATTGCTATTCCATCGTAGGATGGTAAGGGATGACGGCTACTTTGAAGGTCTTCATCCAAGACGGTATTGACCATAGCTGATGACGACGGTGATGATGACGACGTGTGTAGATGTGTACATTCGCCCATGTCGATCTTCAATTAACGCCGCACATCTGCGCGGTGTCGTGACGCACACCCACCTGTGACCATGACGAGAGACGTCAAGCAAGAGAAGGCTGAAATATCCACGTTCAACTCCTGCAGGCTGGCAGAGAACTCCAGGATTGCGTCCAACCAGTCCCCGAATCCTCGTAAGCATTGCAGTCGGTGCATCACCACGCCGTTGCAAAAGATCAGCTTTCCCTCGGCAGGGTTCGATCTGTACGGCACATGACGGCACAGGAGGCATTGGTCACACTGATAGCAATGCTTATTGTATGTGCTATTCGATGATAGGGCAGGAAAGTCTCACCGAGTTTTGAAATTATTTCAGTAAGATCTTGCATTGGGGTGCTTAGCCAATTGAACTAATGAATGATTTGATACGTGGGAGGAAACTGGAGTACCCACAACGCACGGGAGGGGATAACACCTATCGTTACATTCAATCAACTTGCTGCACTACCATTTATTTGATCACATTGCCGCCTAGCTGCCTTTGGAGATCGATCTGAAGGCGCGTGGTCCATCAACGTAGTCGCCAGTGCACGCATCGCGTGCACGCGCCATCGCACCAGGGACATTTGCACTTCTAATAACACACCTGTACGCAAAAACTACGCTGCCAGGTGTCCTTGAAGCTGGCATTAAAGACTCTGTGATATAATTCGCGAGTGTGAGCCGTTGTTTTATTCAGAAGCCATCGCACCAACTCAAGACTGTGCTTGCAACTTGGCACAACTACACGGCGAGAGCGTCCCTCGAGTAACGACGATGTTGTAGACGGTTCACAGCGTTTTTTTTTTTTACGCAAATCTCCCTATAACAAGAGGAAGGTTGGTTCAAAGGTATGCCATCTACTTGCAAGAAATACCTATCTGATAGTCAAGAGTAACGACAGAGTGGCAGCCAAATCCCTTTCTGACGCGTCTCTGCTGGGCATCTGTGGAGAAGAGAGTAACAGCTCACCGGATTTATCCAGGATAAAGATTCTAATTAACCAAAAATGATTCTGAGAGAATACACCCAAGAAGACTCTCACGGCGGAGATGGAGCGATGCTGAGTGGATTGTCTTTTACATCTCCGTGAGAGATTCCACGGCTTGGGGGAGGCCTTCATCCAGCAGTGGATTGCTCATGGATAATTATGATGCTATAGCAGCCTACATATCCACCTACCTGCACAGACCTCACTCGCAATGGAGACAGAAAAATCTATGGAACTCTCCACTTGCTAAAGGCAGGTCATCTGTAATCTGGAACCTAATGACGTTTACGAGGGTCCGCGCAAAGTTGTAAGTATGAGTTGATGCAACTCTCTCTCGGCTTTTGCATTTACATTTGGCAGGAGTGTGGGAGGGGGGGAGAGTCGACAGAGGGGGGGGGGGGGAGATGGAGAGGGGGGTACACAGTAAATGATAACAAAAAACCCATGAACACGTCTACCGAGGAAAAGGAGTGATGAAATCAGTCCATATGCATGCAGGTGGGTGCGAGATGAAATTTTTATTTGCATCGCAGGATCGTGAGAGGTGGCGACGACTTGGTAAGGAAGAGGGGATGTGTGTAGGCTTCATCCAGCAGTGTATTGAGCATAGTTGCTGCTGCTGCTAATGATGACGATGGTGATGGAGGTGGTGCCACCATACCTGTAGGCGAGTCTGAGCACGAAGAGCTCTAGGAAGGCGGCCTCGAAGAGCAATTCGCGGTCATCGCGGAGCAGCTCGGCCACGCCCGGGAGCTTGTCGACCCAGCTGCGGATCACGTCCATGCAGCCCGTGAGTAGCTCGTAGAACTGCTGCACGCTCTCCGCGTCCGTGCCTCCCGTCTGGAACTCGCCTGCCGACTGGAACTGCGTCGGGTTTCGAACGGATCGAGAGAGCGAGAGAGGAGAGGGAGGGAAGAAGGGATAAACACGTTGTGTTTTAATGGACATCTGTGAAACCGCTGGACATCTGTGAAAAAAGAGGTGAACAGCTCATCGGATTCCTCCAGTATAAATACAGATTCTGATTCTGTTAACGTCGTCTTGTTGAGATATTGGGTTTGGAGAGAGAGAATGAGGACAGGTGATGAAAATAGAGTAGTCCCCCATGCAAACCATTAGCTCTTATCTTGTAGCTACACACACATATCTGCGTGTCACTGGTTGTCCGACACGAGTTGGAAGTTTTGGAAATAAACTTTGTAGGTGCGTTGTAGTGACGCTATTGGAGGGACGTGTAAATAATAATAATAAAACATTCGCGCCGGTCATACCGAAATGTCTTCACTATGGCGCACCTACAAGTCACTTTCAAGTTAGTTTTTGGAGAAAAAAAACCCCATAGGTTTGCAGCTGCGATAGAATGGCATATTTTAACATGCGTTACGTGTTCCGTTAATTCGGATGTACTGTATCGACTCGACGCAGTGTAGACTGACGGAGCGGTGGCGCAGTGGCAGAACACATTGGCCGTGTGGAGCTGGATAGAATGTTAAACCTGACTTCCATTCTCGTTCGCTGTTAACATCAGTGGTCGGAATATATGAATCACTAATGCCCCTCCCCCATCGTCGTCAACACCCCTCTCCCCTCCCCTCCGACCTCACAACCCGCATTGACGACATGGTGAAGTATGATCACACAATTCACGTCATGACCCACTCGGCATGGGCAGTCTTTTGTCCAGCAGTGGATTGGTAAAGCGCCCGTGTGTTCGTGTGGTTCAAAGCGATTGTGGCCTACGTGGCGGCACGCATTCATTTCAAGTGACGGGAACTGCCATGAACAGCACCGTCTGCACGTGCTTCGTAATCTTTGCGCATTTCGTAAAATTTGACCGATTGGAGGCGCGCCGAACTCCGCACGTGGAACCTCGCACGTGGAACTCCCCACGTGGAAATTCGCACGTGGAACTTCGCACGTGGAACTCCCCACGTGGAAATTCGCACGTGAAACTCCCCACGTGGAACTCCCCATGTGGAACTTCGCACGTGGAACTTCGCACGTGGAAATGCGCACGTGGAACTCCCCATGTGGAACTCCGCACGTGGAACTCCGCACGTGGAACTTCGCACGTGGAACCTCGCATGTGGAACTCCGCACGTGGAACTCCCCATGTGGAACTTCGCACGTGGAACTTCTCACGTGGAACTTCTCATGTAGAACTCCGCACGTGGAACTTCGCACGTGGAACTCCACACGTGGAACTCCCCACGTGGAACTTCGCATGTGGAACTGCGCACGTGGAACCTCGCACGTGGCGGAGCAATGCGAGGCGCGCACGCCGGTGCTGTCACGCACAGGCCGCGCGAATAAGCCGCGCCGCGCGAGTGATGTGCAGTATTGATTTGCAGGGGTTAAAGAGCGAGCGAAACTGTGACCAAGTTATAATTAAAGCCCACTCCGTAAAAACAAAAATATCTACTCGCAGCTCGCAAGTTCTTTGGACGTTACCGTCCGTCTGTTCCTCCAGCAAGCCAGCAATACTTTGTTTTAATTATAATATCGTAAAAATCACCTTGCTCAGCACAGGCTCAAAATGAGTACAATACGCCAAGCGGATATCCGCAAACAAGCAGCGAATATTAAAGTTGTAGTTGATGGGAGGGGATTCCAGGAGGAGGAATGTCGCGTGAGTGAGCTGCATGTGTGCGGAGGCGCTGAGTTGACGCCAGTCGACAACGCGAATTGTAATAGAGCGCGTTGGGATATTGGACACGCGATTAAAAAGATTGAAGGTCCCCGCGTCGGCTACTGCGTGCCCGGGGGGGGGGGGGCTGGGGTGTTTGTGGTTGGGGGGGGGCAAACACACACACACACAGCTTCACCGAGAGCGTTCATGCATCAAGTTCAATTGTGCGATCGAAGACATCCGCTGGCCATCAAGCCTATTAGCGAGCTCACCATGAACCGCAAAAGGACTTGGCGACGGGGTGGGAGCAGGGGGTGCAGGGGAGGGCTGGGTGGGTGGGTGGAGGTGGGCGGAAGGGTAAAGTGGGGGGGTGGACACGGGGGGGGGGGGGTGGTGGATGAGAGGCGATTGGGTGGGTGGCAGGTGGGTGGGCGGGCGGACGGACGGACGGGCGGTGTCGGGGCCGGGGGACAGCAGGAGAGGAGAGCTGCGGCAGAAGGGTGCAGCGGTGGGGGATGGGAAGGGTGGGGGGTATATGAGGGTAGCACTGGGCCTGCCGGCTCACCCTGGAGTAATCCAGGCTGGTCACGTCAGGGTTGGAGTCGACATGCGCCCTGACAAGTGCGCTGATGAGGCTGACAGGCGGCGAGGGAGGTGAGCTCTCGTGGGAGTTCTTGGGCTTGGAGGGCAGGCGTCCACGCCGCCCCTTCAGGTTGTCCGTGCGCACCACTAGAGAGCGAAGGGAACGCGCCAGTGAGACGGGACATTGCGTTGTTGTTGTTGTTGTTGTTTTTGTGCACAAAGACAATTTACACGGGAGAGAAGAGCAACGTGGAAGGGATACGTTGGGTGGAGGCCGATGCCGAGACACGCGCTAGGTGTGTTGTTCCCCTGCGCAGGTGATCGCGTCGTGTGCGCGTGTGCGCGTGTGAGCGCGCGTCCGTGTGTTTATTCACGGTCTGCTCTGCACGGGTCGATGCTTTTCCCCGCGGCAGTTTGGCCAGCCACTATCCTACCTCGGCACATCTATTGCAGTGTTTACCCTGGCGAACATACAACCGATTATTATTATTGATATAATTTATATAAGCTACAAAATGATGGCCACGACACCGTAGGTTTGTAATTTTTACACGATACGCGGTCTTTGTTATCGCTGCGTCACAACAAATGGGGGTGCTTTAGCCACGGCACATTCTACAGCTTGCCATAGCAGGCAGTCCATATTTAGTACCGTTACACACTGCAGATTTTTGTGTGTGAAACCACAACGCCGACAGGCGCTCTAGTCACGCACGCATACAGATACAAGGAAAACGAGCTCATGTATAACCTTGACATACTTTTGGAAAAGTGCTGTTAGCGAGCACCTATTAAGGCCGGCACGGCACACGAGGGGGTGGGTGGCCAGCACCACGCCTGGCTGCCCTTCTCTACCAAGTGGCGATGTTTTTTACACATCGCACTCGGTAGTAATTTGAGGCCGAGTCGACCTAGGAGAGGCCCAGAACCGGTTCAGATAATCTGCACTGGTTTTGGCCATGGCCGGGTTAGTAACACAGTGCTCTAACTGCCGTGCCACCGCTCCCCACACACGTACACGCAACGTGCATTATACAACTCTGTGCGCCTTTTGGCAATAGAGTACGACAATGCACACATTATGGATACATTGTAATTTCAATCAACTGCAAAACGGCATGTAATCTAGATTGCATCATGTATTAAAACAAACCCACGTCGGCCAACTGACCACCCACCAATAGCACATGCGCATTAATCAATTGAAATCATAATGCATTAGGCCGAGCATATTTACACGTAGCAGCGGGCTAATTGGAATACGCGTCCTCGTGCCTCGTCAGAACAGCGACATCAAGCGATTGCTCGAATTAAAAATGCGCGCAGCAGCCACGAGGAGGAGGAGGCCGCGTCCGTGCCGCCCCCCCCCCCAACAACCCCTCCATCACCCCTCCATCACCCCTCCCCCTCCCCGATAAACTGCGAGGCCCCACGCGGTCGGTGCCGACTGCCACCGTTCCGCGTGGCCCACGCATCTCTCCCGCTGCTGCATGAACAAGATTATTCACCAAAATACTTAATTTGGAGCTTTCGTGACTGCAGGAATTACTCTTTGGTTCTTTCGGTAAAGTCACGTAGAAAGAGAAAATAATAAAATATTTCACCAAAATACTTAATTTGGAGCTTTCGTGACTGCAGGAATTACTCTTTGGTTCTTTCGGTAAAGTCACGTAGAAAGAGAAAATAATAAATTATTCACCAAAATACTTAATTTGGAGCTTTCGTGACTGCAGGAATTACTCTTTGGTTCTTTCGGTAAAGTCACGTAGAAAGGGAAAATAATAAATTATTCACCAAAATACTTAATTTGGAGCTTTCGTGACTGCAGGAATTACTCTTTGGTTCTTTCGGTAAAGTCACGTAGAAAGGGAAAATAATAAAATTATTCACCAACACTGGCTTCTAGATCGCCCACGCGGCGCTCTCCGATTATTGTCCCTCCCCGTTTGCTGCGTGCAATTGGTTCTGGATTTTAAAAAAAGCATCGTTCCCCAAACTAAAGGGGATGTTCCGCTGGGTAAAAGTATCCTATTTACGCAGTTGAAACATTAATGCAAACGTCACGCACGCGCGCGCACACGATAGGTTTGTTTAGATTTTGCATGGCCCACAGCGTAAAGGTTGAGTTGTAAACCGTGATCTTAAGTCCTGACCAGGGGTTTTTGTCCAGGTCGGCGATCAGGAAAATATGCCCGTACCCGGCATACCACATCAAGTATGGATGTCTGTCGCTACGGCTGCGGCGACTACTCACGTGATACCTACTCCAGCAAACCATTGACCAGGAAAAACAAATATTCGGTGAGAAATGAATCCATAGTTCTGACCCTTAACAAATAGAACCTAATGGCGAACTTCCCTTTCGCGTGATTATTATCAAGTGCGCTCTGGTTGATACACCGCAAAGACGTGTGATTGACGCTACTCAGACTCAGCACAGCGGAGTACAATGTGGACGACACACACCATGGACAAATAGTAGCCTCATGCCATGGGACCACCCATTGAGCCATCTTGACAAGACCTCTCTTTTAAGAGATGATGGCTGTCCTCAAGCAGGCCCGCGAGATAAGACGTCAAATCAGATTAGTAGGCACATTCGATATTCATAAACAAGCGAATGTATCTCATGCGGGATGCTTCAATGCACTGTGCAGAGGTTGTGAATACGAAAACAGGAGAGTGATGATGATATGGCGAGTTCCGTGTCGTACACATGATGACGATGATGATGTTGAAGCAAGGTGTCTGGTATCCTGCAGATGATCATCACGTTAAAGCATGACGTCCGATACCCTAAATATCACGATGACGAAGAAAGTAGAAGATCTTATTGAAGCATTACATCCCGTGCTGTGCAAATGATGATGACGCCCATGACAATGACGACTACGATGATATAATCAGGCGTTGTGAGCGTCCAGCCCGCACTCCTCACCTTCCTTGACCATGCCGACCACGAGACACTTCTGAAAGCGACAGTACTGGCAGCGGTTCCGGCGGCGCTTGTCGATGGGACAGTTCTTGTTGGCGAGACACACGTACTTGGCGTTCTTCTGCACGGTCCTCTGCGGAACGAGACGGGGCCGTGGCAGTGAGCGGAGCGCCCTGGGGGCGTGCGTGGGTTTAACACGCGAACTGTTTTGCGACGCGAAACAACGAAACGCGAGGCGTGGATCCATGGATCCGTGTCGATTTATCGGCCCTGTGAATGATTGTATTGTGATGATGTGGGCGACAAGACAGGGCTGATAAGTCTGTTTGGATTATCTGCGTACACTGCGCACTGCTTATTCGTAAGTATGGTCGGATAGTAAAGCACGACGACCTGCACGGCGTTGGGAGGCCCTCATCCAGCAGTGGATTGATAATGTGTTGATCCAAACATAACTTTCCGAGTAGCAGTGAAGCTGCATTGATATACATAACGTCACCACTAGCATCAACACATGCGATGCAGTATTATGTAATGTTTCATTGAAAGACGAGACTTGAACGTAAAACAGATGTTTGGGTCAGTATACTTTTCTCAAATTGACTTTGGTTGTTCTCAAAACGTCTTCTCCTTGTGCATGTAGGAAATGCGCAGGCCTTTATAAGCTAGTTTAACACGTTTTCACGACTAATATCATCTATAAGAGTTGTTTTGTTAGATCGCGTAAATAAATGTGTCGTTAAAACCCGCCGCCACCCGCCACAGCCAACGAGTAAGGGTTGTCACGTAAGCAGAACATGCCAATTCGTCATTAGTACAGCACACCAGTTGTGTGTTGGAGAGCCAAGTCACAACATTACAATCTGAGTACGACGTTTCGCCACAGCCAGGCAAATCTGACTGTCGCCTGGTGAAGCTAGTTGTAATTACTGGCTGTGGTGCACAAGCACACAACAACAAAAACTGTCCATTTGTATCGCCGACGATGATGATGATGACGACTTTTTGGACGGTGCTCATCCCGTGAATATTGTTCATCTGAGAATAATGCCAGCCTCCTACTGTTGCACTAATCTCCCCGTCGCTCTGGGTGTGATAACTGCGTTGTGGTTGTGGTTGTTGCCGCTACTGCTGCTGTTGTTGTAGTTGCTGCTTTACGGGGTCTGCACCTCTCTCGGCACCTTAACTCAACAGCGCGATCGCTCCGCTGAGCTTCGAGCAGAACATTAAGTAAAACAAACCGGACCATTTAAATTTACCGCTGGGAACAGTGTTCCACACGGTTACCCTGACCATTGGCCACTGTCGTTTCTGATTTGAGTTCAACAGGACTCGAGCGCCTTCCGACAGCCTAGTGCACGGCACCGTGTCCTGCGGTGGCGAGTTGGCACCGCAGGACACAGCGGATAATGAAGAAGACGAAGAAAAAAACACCGTTATATATTTATATTACCGAGAATAAATCATTTTGTCTGTGTTATCTCGGCAAACAAATTTCTGTATCTGGCGTCGGGGGCGTGTTTCGTTCCATCCTTGTCTCACACTCCCTTCTATCGGTCGCTGACAGCTGAATGACAGATCAATGGGTGGGGGTGACGTGCGGGGCGACAGAGCGGACAGCGATGCACGGGGACATGAGAACGCACGGGTCCCTGGACCGCGAGACGACACGCCGCTGATGTGCATATCACCGGCCGGCCGACCGGCGGGTGGGAGCAACACCAAAGCGCACAACCAAAACCAACAAAATGCGACACTTAGGGAGTCGGTGGCGCCGTCGGCGCGAGGCGGTTATTTAAGTGAACACGCCGCGGCTGATTGTAATTGCAACCCCCGCTGTAAACTACGCGTGCACGCGTGCCGCGAAATAACTCGCGCGCCGCACGCCATGCGGTCGGTCGGCAAGCTCTCGAGGCAATTCACGCAGCGACGCGGGTTTATTATTTGGGTAACGACAACGGCAGAGTGCACGAGTAACGTGGAGCGCTAACGTAAATAATATTAGGGTACTTGCGGTGGCATAAGCATGCCGGGCAAGCAATAACGAGCGCGCGTCTGTAAATGTAAATCCGACGTGGGCATTAACTAGATCCTCGCAAAATAAACACGCATTTTCAAACTGTATGGCATTTCAACTGTATCGTTTTCGTTGCCCTTTCCCCGCACCGTCCGATCAGCACGGTTGGCTACGTGCGGTGCGAAAGAAGTTCAACATAGACGCATGCATACACACACATGCGCACGGTCCTTTGCAAGTGAGATGAGCGGGGGAGGCCGCTTTGGTAGCGAATTCTCGCGGACAAGCAGCAAGCGGTGAAACGTAAAAGGAGAAAAAAAACACCCCACCATTAAACCACGAGATATGAATGCTCATTAGAGCGCGCAATTATGTATTAACTCCAATTAGGTCGGAGCAAGAAATGTGCTGAGTAATTAAAGCGCTGGGAGACAACTTGGTCGCGTTGCACGCCGAAAGGTGGTGGCGAGGGGGGTGGGAGGCATGCGGAGTGCGGGGCAGAGAGAAGCTTGCGCGGCGCACTCACCGCGCTCGGAGAACGCGCGCGTCTTCAAGTTGTGGAATGTCTCTCTCTCTCTCTCTATCGCTATGCACGACATGAGTGCACGCGGAGAGACGCGCGCCACCGAATGATCGATGACGATGCTGCTGCTGCTGATGATACTGTCGGTGGTGACGATGACGAGCAAAGTGTTGTGCCGTGCCAGCCGACCTCAAGTTGGTCACTGCACACCGCCGTGACACGGGGCCGTCGCTTGCGCCGCGGTGGTGGCTGCGCCGAGTCTACAGGTTAGAGGAGGGTGGCGAGCTCGCGGGCGGAGAAGTTGGCGTACCTTGAAAAAGCCCTTGCAGCCCTCGCACGTGCGCACGCCGTAGTGCTGGCAAGCGGCGTTGTCGCCGCACACGGCGCACAGCCCCTCCCCGGACGGCGAGCCGCGGGTCTGCTGCACCGAGGCGGACATGGGCCCCTCCATCATTTGCTGCCCGGGGCCCATGGGCAGCAGAGGGAAACTCACGGGCGGCCGCTTGCGCATGGGGCCCGGCAGCGCGAACGGGTGAGGTGGCTCCATCACGTGAGGGTGGTGCGGGTGGTGGTGGTGATGGTGGTGGTGCGGGTGGTGGTGCGGGTGGTGGTGCGGGTGGTGGTGATGCGGGTGAGGGAAGCCGCTCTCGGTGGGCATGGGCAGAGGCCTCGGAGGGCCGTCGAAGGCCATCTGGCAGCTGGACGTGGTCGGGGTGTTGGGCGGTGATTGCTTGAAGGCGAAGACGGAGAAGCAGGGTGGAACGTCCTTCCTCTGGGGCGCGTCCATGATGTGGCCCGTGCCCATGTAGCTCGGCGGCATCGAGGGCAGCCTTGGCGGCGGCTCGTCCCACAGAGGGGGCTGCTGGCAGCGGTAGCCCGACGTGGTGGGGGTGGAGGGCGGCGAGCTCTTGAAGTACATGGAGCTGGAGGAGGGCAGCATCTCCTCGGACTGCGGGTGCAGCGAGCCGGGGTGGTGGTGGTGATGGTGGTGGTGGTGATGGTAGCCGTGCATCGTCGGTATGTCTTCCATCTTGACGGATATCTGCGGGTTTGGCACCTCCATCTGGTAGAGGCAGGGCGGCTTGATGTCGTAGCCGGGAGCGCCGCCGCCGCCGCTGTTGTAGCTGTCCATGAAAGTGCTGAAGCTGGGCAGAGACGTGGTAGCGGTTATTTCAGTTGTGTTGCTGAGGTCCATGCCGAACTTGGCAAACTCGGGTCCGCCGTAGCCGCTGCCAGACGGCCCGTTGTAATCGGCGCTCGAGTATGAATAACTTTGGCCGGCCGGGCTTGCACCTTGAGGCGACGATCCGTACTGAGCCTGAACGCAGGGCATCGCTGTGGGGTGGGAACAAAAAAAAATACGTGAAGTAGGGGAGGAAGCCGTCGTTGTCGCCGCGGATCCCATTACACCGTGCGAATTCAACTCCTTAATTGTGATGAGCGCTGCGTTAATTAATTAGGTCTCGATAATTAGGTCTTCGAACTGTGGTGTCGGAGGCGCCGTTCATATTTTCCTCCCCGCGAGGCGAATGCGTTTGAGTATTCAATGACGCTCATACACAGCACCGCAATTAATCAACGCTTCGTATTCGCGCGACGTATTCGTGTGTAAGTTTATTTGACAATAAGTTGTAACAGTTAACAACAACAACAAAACTACTATGGTGTCTGATTGGACGAAAAATCAAACACCTTTCGTAGAGTTGATACTACTTTAAATTATTTGCTACGTATGCGCGTGTGAGGCTTATTATTTGAGCTGAATGTAAGAATACTGCATGACATAACAGTCTACACGTGATATATGAACACGGAATTGATCGCGTATTCGCGTCGTTAAAACATGTTAAAACATCGCATGCAAAATATTTTTTGAGCGATAAATAAATTGTAATTTTTAAAACAAGTTAATTAATATAGCTCTGAATGTAAAAGGTGAGTTTTAATGGCAAATTTGTGTTCTAATAATTTTAAAAGTGAGTCAACTTTGTATCTTTTTTTTTACCGTCAAATTTAGTTAATTCAAATCGCTGGGAGTGTTAATACATAGAGCAACACCAGCGGCAACTGTTCGCCATTCGTCTATCTGAATCCACCACGATCACACAGATATATAAAAACGAATACATCACAATTATACGTTTGCATGAACTGGATCACCAACATAAAAGTACTGTAATACATAACAATTGTTTATCTTTGTCTACTTCTACAAACAAGCAACGAGCGCTTCGCGATTGTTCACCTGTAAAGAACTGGTACAAACAAAACACGTCAACACCACCGTTACCTATTTGTGTAATAGTAGTGAAAACTAAATAACTAATTACAAACGTGCAATGGAAGATCACCGTTCAACCGGTAGCATATATACACAACTTTACACCTTTGTAATTAAACGCGCTCGATCAAGAATAACGTCAAATAATCTCACGCAGCAAACAGTCATCACACAACTTCACTCGAACTTCGCAATTTTTTTACTAAAACTGCATCGCGACTTCAAGACGGAACTCGTTAAAGACGCTGGGCAATTGTCCATTCGCTACAGAAAATAAAAAAATAAAAAAAACTCGACGCATTCTTCAATAGAGAGAGAGGAAAGCGTATGTCATAGGCAACGTTTGGGTCAATGGCCATAATTCACAGCGGAAAGATCTCAACAGATTCGTTCATAACGCTGCCCTAAAAAAAAAATGAAAGTACGGTATATATATAATATGCGAAGTGTCGGTAAATTGTGCTTTTTTACAGCTGCCGGTGTGTGCAGACTGCGTGTACCAGACGTACCCGTAGCAATGCGGGTATACATTGACTACCCTCCCAACTCCCTCGCAAACCCGTCTTCCCTACACACATAGCGCAAAGACAACGATGCACGCGTAGTCTACACAGACTGTTGGGGCAAGTGCCGTCAGCGAGCACCTATTAAAGGCCGGCACGGTACACGAGCGAGTCGTGTGGACAGCACTACGCCCGGTTGCCTTCGTCTCCCCGGTATTGAATATAAACACGCGGCACCAGGTACGCATTCAAGTGTGGCCCACTACCTGTCCAGATATCACTCGCCACTGATGTTAACCGTGACCTGTGATCGAAATCCAGGTTACACACCAAACCGGGGCTTCATTTCTCACGCGATTTTTTCCGGAACGCCGCTAAGCTGCCTTGGGGTAGTAGGAGATTATCGACGTAAGGCACTACCACTAGAGTACCGACATTGTTTGTTCTTTCGCAGAACACAATTCCGGACTGGTTCGGCTGCTACGAATCTCTCTCTCTCTGTGTGTTCGCAAAACGTGGAGCCGCGTGCCTCACCTGGGCTGGGATGCGCGTCAGTGATCTCCACACGCGAAGCGGAAGGGCGAGAGGGCGCGGATGGGACGCCGGGCAGGCAGGGGCGAGGGTGCGGCAAGCCTCGGGGCTCAGCCCACAGCCGGGAGGCCGGTTCGCTCCTCGTGCTGCCGGCTTCTCTGTTGCTAAGCGACACGGGCAAAGTGGAGAGCTGCTCCTGCTGCTGCTGCTGCTGCCTTTGCAGGGGGATGACACCTGGGTGGAGTTGTAATTTTTTTTAAAGGGGGGAGGAGGGAGTAGACGGAGGAGGAGAGGGAGGGGGGTGCACACGCGAGCGTCATGAATCCGTACAGAAGCGGTCACTTTGGCCGTAGCAAGTAGCGCATTCTTCAGTGAGAGACGCGCGTTGGCTTGACCAGCTGTTGTTAGGAATCTGATGGGAGAGCGCGCAGTCTGGGGCGTCGCAGAGTGCGCAGTTGGCGCACTTGGTGCACGCTGCTGCGTGCTTGCTGAACAGCGCGTGCGCTTGCCAGCGATGATCACCCGCGTCTCTGCCGAGTCGCCTCGCTATGCATTGCGTTTTGCGGATAAAGCAACCTCGAGTAATTCGACGTCGTTTCTCTTCCCTTTACCCGGTCCATCAACAGCACGCCCCACACAAAAACCATCACCCGACAAACTTTCAACGTAACCGAGAGCGTATGAACGAGCGACATGTGCGCAGGTAAAACACAACGCGCACGGTTTCAGCGGACGAGGAGTGTCGTTGTGTTACGAGTACACGTGACACACGCGAAGGGTAATTTCCACACAGCATCGGTACGTACCTTCGTAAGGGTGAGAAAAAGAGAGAGAGAGAGAGAGACAGACAACGCCACAAGCAGGGCCTGCGCGGCACGACCACGAGACGAAACTAATCTAAAGTGAAACAACTCGTGGGCACTTCATTCTCCGAGCTGGAGCGTCGCGGCAAAGAGGCGACAGAGACAACCGGGCAGCCCATCCTCTGTGGCTGTGCACCTCCACTTCCCCCGTCGCCTGCCTTTAAATCTCACCGGCCACGGTGACGTCACGTGACGGGGGGTAACGCTTTTTGATTCCCAGCGACTGCCGTGGCGTCAGCGCCCTCGGTTCCCCAGCGCTGGCAGGAAGAACGCGCGCGTGCAGAAGAAGCTCGCACGAAGGTGGAACAATAACAAATTATACATTTCATGAACTACCCCCCCCCCACCCTCCAAAACGTTGTTTTGCTGCTTTTTCACCAATTCTCATCGTACACCCCCCTCCCCATCCTCTCTCTCTCTCTCTCACCCCCACGCACTGTCGCCTACACGCGCCTAATTCAAGTAGTTGCACTTGGGTGTCGGCAATTTATGATTTCTTCCGCAAATTGTTCAGCGGTCAGTGTAGTTCCACCGCCGAGGCTGTGCTGCGTAATAAGGTGCTTTAACACCCGCGGAAGCGAGCAAATCGACGCAGTGACATTTTTCTCATCGATAGCAATCTAGGTGTTTGGTCTCGTAGCCTAATGCGCGGTGTACGGACTTTCGGTCACAAAATGAATGGGTGAATTTAGCATTGGCAATGGGACCAGTACCACGTGTCTGCTGTGTTCGTGCGAATATGCGACTGATTAACACGTTCCCGACAAGAGCGATCTCTGTTAAAACGTGCATGCCTAAACGTGTACGTGCATAGGCTATGCTGTGTGTCTGTCTCGGGGCGTGTGCGCCCGTGCGCGGGCACGGCAATCGTTCTCGCTAACAACACAGCGGGGCTTGTTGGGCAGGACACGCCGCTCTCGAATGGATGATGATGATGATGACCCATGGTCAAACATCGTTGCAGAGTTGTAACCTAGCGTCCGAGGGGATGTTCGCCGAGGAGATAGATTATTGTTGGAGCGTGAGAGATGTCGACGGGCCTTTATCCAGCAGGGGATAAGATCACAGGGGACAATGATGGCGATGATGAATTTTGCCTCAACGTAATCAGCTTTTGGTAACTTCTTCAGACGTGCAACGCTGAGAAACACGGGCTCCGTGGCCTCTGCACCGTGCCCCCACAAGCGGCTCACACAGCGTTCCCAACGTTCTCCTCTCGCACCCGCCACTCCTCGACTTTGCCGTGCGCGGGCTTAGCAGCTGAGTGCGCGCGCGCGCGTCTGCGTCTGCTCTGTATCGCACACACATCGCACACCGATGCAGCGGCCTCGGGTGGGAGAGCGAACATCACAGGGGGGGCGACCCTCATCCAGCGACACCCGAGCGCCCCCCAACCACCGATGGGACACATCGGACAGGTTACACCCCCCCCCCCACACACCGCAACAGCTTTTCGCGAGCATGACCACGCGCACAGACTCCGCGATGTATTTGTTGTTACACGGAACGTGCAGGCGGTGCCCACTACGGCGAAATGTAACTCCACAGTCGTTTGAACGATGGAAAGAGCAACCCCCGTGTGTTAGACACGAGTGCGCAACAGCCGCGAAGAAGGGTGGATGAACGCCGTTGTAGGAAGCCATATATTATATATGAGAAAACGGTGTACAAACGAGAGGCGTGTGTTGGCACTGTAGTACGAGCTGGCGAGCGTGTACCTCTTGTGACAGAGATAGATAGTGTGGCATGAGGTGAACAGCGAAGGTGGTGGAGATGCGTGCAGATAAACCAGTCACTACTTCACCCCTACCACTGCAAGAAGCAGCGAAGGTACGCTTGCAAGTTGAAATGCGCGGTCTCAAGGAAATCGTGTCGGCTGTACAGAGGAGCCCAGTCATATGTGTGCGCGTGTGTGTGTGTGTACAGGCCGTGCACGAGGCCGGGAGGAGGCGGCGTGACACCTGCTCACCAAGTGAGATGCAGAAGAGGCAATTAGAAACTCTCCCACCCGTCATCATAATCAACATCAACCATCACTTTGCAAGCGAGCCAGGTTCCATACGTCACCGAGAAGTAATCTATATATAGCCCTACATACACGAGTAGGGAGTAACTGGATCGGTTTACTGTCGTGGCGTTTCAACGTGGCCTACATCGCCGCACACTGTGGCCTAAATCAGAATATATATTTTGACTGGGAGGAATCCGATGAGCTATGAAGCTTTTTTTCACCGATGTCCAATTGGGCCGGATAAGAACGTTGCAACAACAAGCAATACAAAAACTTGATAGCAGTGCAAAGTACAAGAAAGGTAAACAAATCACCCAAACACGTACAAATACAACTAAAACATCCCCATCCTATCACACAAAGCCCACTGAGGTATTGACTTATTTTTAAAAAGCGACCTGGCCACAAATGATAGCTCAACAAAGTGGCCCATCATTGGGACATTTATAGCAGCAAAATAATCTAGTGGCGTGTTGCTGCTAACTATTTCGCAAACTGAAGAACCGAGACGTGCCATCTTTCATCAAGAGATACACAGGCCCTGTATTTTTTGTATCAGTTGATGTAGACCTGTATTTATTGTATAGTCTAATTAGGCCATATATCCCACTAACGGGATAATTGCCGATATGTGAGCCTTTATGTGTTACGAAGAAGGGTAATTGCCCGAAACGTCGCCTATTACATACTTTACTTCAAGGGCAGTGCTGTTGACAAATGTGTCGAGTCTTTTTGATACATGAGCCGCTATCCGTTATGCTGCAATGCTATTCAATTGAAACGCACGCATAATATCACACGCAAGCACGTGCTTTGCTTTCCTATGTTGTGACAATGGAATGACACGCGAGAAGGAATTTGAGGAACGCATGCAAATGAAAGGACATTTTCACTCACACCGAATGTTCCTATACCGAACACCGCTAACGCGTAACACTCACTTCTGTGTTTGTGCAGCAAGTCCATATAAGGCACTCGTGATGTCAAATAGCCCATGCGTTTATGGTGTGCAATCACCCATCAGAAAATCCCAATTCATCTCCCCGTATGCCTGAGCGCTTCCTCATTAATAAATCAGCTGATTTGTCTGTAACTCTAAAGACAAAGATCCCTCGTATAGCCTAAACAGACTGTTTGGCCAGGTGTAGTTAGCGAGCACCTATGAAGGCCGGCCCGACACACGAGGGGGTTGGTGGCACAGGACTGGATCAGAAAATCGTCACCGTTGTTGGCTGTGAACTCGAGTTCGTAGCACTTGGCGATGACCGCTACACTACCCCCCCCCCCCCATACACACACGCACACCTGTGTAACTCTACACACATGCACACCTGTGTGACTCCACACCTGTGTAACTTCACACACACACACACACCTGTGTAACTCCATACACACTTTTATAACCACACACGCATCTGTGTAACTCCGAACACCCCTAACTCCACACACACACACCTGTGTAACTCCACACACACATGTCTAACTCCACACACACACCTGTCTAACTCCGCACACACACACACCTGTGTAACTCCACACACACACCTACACATGTAACTCCACACACACACCTGTGTAACTCCACACACACACACCTGTCTAACTCCGCACACACACCTGTGTAACTATACACATACACACACACCTACACGTGTAACTCCGCACACACACACGTGTAACTCCACACACACACACCTGTGTAACTCCACACACACACACACCTGTCTAACTCCGCACACACACCTGTATAACTCCACACACACACCTGTCTAACTCCACACACACACCTGTGTAACTCCACACACACACACCTGTGTAACTCCACACACACACCTACACGTGTCACTCCGCACACACACCTACACGTGTAACTCCACACACACACACCTGTGTAATTTCGCACACACACACCTGTGTAACTCCACACACACACACCTGTATAACTCCACACACACACACACACACCTGTGTAATTTCGCACACACACACACCTGTGTAACTCCGCACACACAGACACGCACGTCTCAGCTATCACCCGCGTGTTTTAACGGGCACGACCAACTGTCGTGCTAGTGCAAGAAACCCAGTCACATTGTTTGTACACTTTTTATTTTATTTAGCAACGTGTTCCGTCCGAGGGTGCAAGCGTGTCGGTCTCCCTTACCGTTTTAAAAATCGAGGACGTAACAGAAGATGTAAATGCAACTTTTATCACACTTCTCAAGTAGCGGTAACTCATGCTCCACTGCATGTGCTGCTTGCTACTGCTGTTGTGGGACACCGTGATAGAGCAGCAGCAGAGCGATGTGTTGGCATCGTGCTTTGTACCACGGCTTAATTACAGCCCCGCGTTGCCCACTCTTTCGTACGATCGATTAATTTAACCCCAATTTGTGTAAGGGCTACTCCCCCCCCCACCCCCCAGATAGAGCGGTCTGCGCATCTTGATCACTTTGCCAAAGACTCGGTCGTTACGCGTTTCATCTAAGCATACGACACGGATATCGTGGGGAGCGTCTGATCCAGCAGTGGATTGACAAGTGAAGTATGGGGGGGGAGGGGAGGGGGGGGGGAGTAGTTCATCTACATGTCTTGAGCACGAGGCGTCGAGACAATGCCAAGTTTACAATGCACTCTGCTTCAGTTTATGTTCTTCTGCTGTTTGCATAAACAATGCCATTTCCCTACGCCGCGTGTAGCCGGCAGGCAGGTGGCTGGATTCGTGTCGGTGTGCCGGTGAGGTGCCGTGTGCGGTTGAGAGAGAGAGAGAGGAAGAGAGATGAAGAGAAGCTCGTGCGGGAAAACAATTAGACGAGAGTGAGAAATCAGCCGAGCAAGCGTTGAACGCATCCTTCGCCATACGATGTTAAGCGCGGACCCAGCGGCGACGCGCTTTAACCAGAACATTGCTAAACTCCGCAGCGGACTACGACACTTTATTTAAAAGTACTGCCTACACGCACACGTGTGCGATCTGTGAACGCGCGGATCAGCGTCATCTCTCCGACGTGCACGCTTGCCTCCGCGCGCGAGCGTCACACGCGTGGTCATCAATAAACGTGCTCATTTTGAATGACACAAAAAACTAACTCACGTTGTATTTTACCCCGTAAACATCATCGTCGTCGTCGTCGTGCCCATTGAGAGCGAGAATCGCTCGAGTGATGCGCTCGCACACCACCACGGGAGGGGGGTCTTCTTCCGGGCAGTGCGGCACCGTTACTTTAACTTCGCACGCAATCGGGGCGTCAAATTAAGGTGCAGGAGACGACACGCGCGTCTCTGACTCGCCGTGTCCGTAAGAGACTCGCTGAGGATGATGTTTTGCACTTGTGAAATTAATTGCCACGATGTGCAACTGCAATAAACAAAAAAAAGTCTTGCACTTAAGACAACGCGAGTTTAATTTTTTTTGTTAAAGAAAGGCGGCACCCGTTATCTTCCGTGACAGCAGCGGCAGTAGCAGCATCAGCAGACGAAGTCAGCTGTTGGCCGGCAGGTGTTGGAGCGTCTACTGCACCGCGCAGCAGTACAGCCGGCAAAACGCTTTAAAGGGCGAACAACACGTGCGGGACGCGTAACACCACTTACTTGTGATAGTAGTCGGTTCCGTGTTGAATGAACATAAAGTGTAGGTGGATGGATAAATCCGTGAAGTGATGTCCGGTCTTTGCAACGCTGTCGGGGCTCGCCGCGGCTTCGCTTGGGGCTCGTGCGGTGCGGAGCAGAACCTGCGCTCTCTGTCCGCGGTCTCACCGAGTCTCCAAACTCCGTGTCTCTCTCTCTCTCGCTGCGGCAGCGGCGTGCCTTTGTTTATGTGGCCGAAGCGCCGAGCCGGAGCACCCCAAACCCTCCCCACTCCTCCTCCTCCTCCATCATCCAACACCACCCACCCCCACTCCTCTCCACAACCCCCACCCTGGCCTCAGCATCGTCACCCCCCCATCCCTCCCTCTCCCTACCCCCCTCCCTCCCTCCCTCCCCCACCTCCCTACCCCCCCCTCTCTTCTTCCACCACGCGCTCTTCTCGCGCTCTCTGGAGCGCGCGCGTCACTCCCTGCCGGGACCAATGGAGCTGCACGGGGAAGCCGGCGACTGCGGTGTGGGTGTGCGCCCGGGTTCGGTGATGGGGGGGGGACAGGGGGGGGGTACAGAGGGGTGGGTGGGTGGGGGGGTTAGGGGGGGGGTGAAAGGGGCGGGGCTTGCTATCGACTCCCATAGTGGTGGTGGGGGGGGGCTGGGGAGATAGGGAGGGAGGGGGGTGTGTGCCCGGTCGTGTGACGCACGCCGTGACGATCGGTGTGACGCACGCGCGCGCGCGACCCAAAATAGCGGAGGCGGCACGCGAGCGCGAGCACGCGCGTGGCCCCCTCCCCACCCGACCCCTCAACTCCTCCCACCCCCGGCGCGCGCGTGGCCCCCCACCCCACCCCTTCCGTGATCTCCATCCTCTTCCCCCTAACCCCCCACCCCCCCTGCACGCTCCCTCTTGCATAATCGAGACCGCGCGCGCATTGATCCTGCTCCGAGTGGGACACGTGCGCGCGCGTGCGTGCGCGCGAGAGGGCTATTTATGAGTACGGGAGACGCACGCTCCGTTACTAAATACAACATGATCTACATATATATATCCCACAGGCGGACAAATATAGTTGGTGGCGAGGGTATTTTTAGGGGTTCTTTTAACCCCGTGCCACCTGCCCGGCCCGGCGACGGCGGCGTGTGATTTCTGCACGATCCCCTCCCCTCGTGATGTCTCGCGTGAGCGACGCGCTCACTCGACGACGATGACGATGATGATGCTAACGGCCGTGATACCGAGCTTTTTTTGTGCTGTTGTACCCGATCGGGTCACACACACCCCCCCCCTCCTCTCTCTCTCCCACCCCAAGGATCTTTGTAGCACCCCTAGAAGGGGGATGGGGGAGGGGGGGTGGAGCGAGGCAAAGGAAGGGATTCCCCAAATGCGAGCGCGGGTGTAGTAGGGCACGCACGGAAGCCGGTGGGTTTTAGTAGGTGGTCAAGGGCGCGTTGGAGTGTGAGGAGTGAGTGAGCGAGTGAGCGTTGTGTGCGCGTGTGCTCATTTGTCTGCTTCCTCCGACTCTTTACTTCTCTGATAAAGCCTCGCGCTGACTGCAGCTCTTTGTGAATGGGATTACCATGAACATTAACGTGTTTCAGGTATTTATTTATTTTGTGTACCCATTCACAAAACGTCGCAAACGCACGTGTGTATATTTGGTAAAGTAAAAATAAAACTGCACTATTGTCCTGGTTTTAAGTCGTTTTTTTCTCTCTGTAAAATCTCTTTTCACACACATCTTAAACGCGATTATACAGGACTTATTCGTGTGCTCGTATGCTGAACTTCTTTCGCACCGTGTGCAGCCCACCACGCTCATCGCAGGTGCGCTAATCAAGGAGGAGTTGCAATACCCAAAACATTTTGACTTGCCTACAAACATTTAGAATGTACAAAGTCCACCTCCCCCTGATGCTAACGAGTTGAGAAGACGAGAGTGTATGTCTCTACTCTTTGCTGCGCGCTCATGAATACGTTTTTTTGCTTACAAAGTTGTTATCTGATGTATTTGAACCTATATGTAAGGGTCATCTATACATCCACTGCTGAATGAAGGCCTCCCCACGCCGTATCGGCCATGGGGGTTGTTTGACCATACTTCACCGCGCTGGTCCGTGCGGGTTTGTGAAGTGGTAGACCAACCACCGGTTCAAACATCACTCCCCACTGGGGATAGCAGTGACCGGGAATTGGACTCAGGTCGCCAGATTCATAGCGCGGTGTGTCACCATTGTATCTATATAACAAGTCTTCTTGCATCGTATACAATTTCAATGGAATTACAACGTGATTGTGTACGCTAAAATCATTCAAACTATCCAGGACACGTCGCTAAAAGTGTGTCAGCTAAGACATGGAACGGGTCCAAGAGGATATATCTCCCGGGGAGATGGAGCGATGAAGTCGGCTGGTCCGCAGGTGCTGAGACGGATTTTTATATCGCAAGGATCGTGAGAAATACTGAGCGCTTGGGGGATTCTTTCATCCAGCAGTAGATCGATCATAGCTAATGATCATTACGAGGAATGCACGCGCGTGTCTGTGCATTCAATTGGAACGCTGCAGGTTATGCGTCGCACCGAGATGGAGAGGACTTCGTAGTGCTGCGCCAACGTGAAAGCATGCACGGGTTTGATCCGCTCTGCACGACTTTTTGCATAAACATCGCTTTGCTTGAATCCTACTTCTGCTCCGCGTCGTTGTTGTTGTGAACCGCAGTCCTCTTTACGGTGTGCATGTTAATGTTGTCATTGCGCTTCGCTTAATATTCACGAGTTTAAGCGGCACAATTAATTATAAGCGTGCTTGCAACACTAATTACCAATGGAATAAGCGCGTGTATGCAATGTATTGTGCAGCTAATGAGTGCTAATTGATATGTAGATGTGGTGCGGAACAGGCACGTGCGTGTGTGTCATGTAAAAAGGAGGCGCATATTGCATTTGTTTTGCGACCATGACTAAAGGCGTTTTGAGTGCGAATTCAGTGACTTAGAAAGTGCAACCAGGGCTATCCGTAATTTGTTAAAACTATTTTGGATCAAGATTCCAATTCATTCAATTGATGTAGCGCACGTCATTGCAAAGACCACTGTTCTCGTATGAATACTCCGTATTTTATTGGGCTCTGTGTCCACGTAGTCTGGGTTTAAAATCATATTTATGTTTTACATAGATCAGTACTTTTATAAGCTACATTGTTTTGCACGTGTAGCGCAACCTACATGCATTTATTTTCACATTAAAGGTCCGAACGTGATGAATTATATTATACCGTTACCACTAGGGGCGCTGTTTAAGAGCCCCCAACACCAGCACAGGGACTCGCTTCATACCTGTCAACCCGTTATCAGTGCCTACCTTGTTACAGACCAATTTAAACCTTATTGGTCACCCCGTGCTCTTATAAATCTCAACGTTCATCCTACAAAGTTCCATCACAAGGGAGAAATACAAACAAATAGACAAAAATGGCCGTGGTGAAATGGCTACACGTCGTATGGACCTTAAAACTCTATTTCCCTCTACAAGAATACAGGTTCCCTGTATGGGTTGACAGGTATGTCACTAAACCAGCCAGCAACATCGTCTTCTGACAAACTGATATACAATACAACGAGGCTGACAATTCGGAAGACCCGTCTCTGAATAACTTTCCTTTTAAACGTGTAGTTGTGGATTAGTGCCAATGGTTCATCAAATTTCGTGACAGTTTTGCGTGGCTTATTTACTAACTTCGTCTGCATTTTCGTTAACGTTGCAAATTATAATCAGTGCAATACGTAGCAGTGGTATTATTATTATTAATTAGAGGTCTCTACAACTAGTCAAGAGCCCATTGAGATAAAATAGCTTCTTTCAAGGGGGAACCAGGGAGTAGGACTATTAATTGTGTTCACGAGTTATGCAATTCCAATCTGTTATTCCGTTTGTCAATATGTTCAGAAGATAAATGCCAATATCGAGTTCTGCTGGCCACGGGATGGCTTCAGGAGAGAGTTCGCGTTGTTTTGCTATTCGCCGACTTCAATTGTTTAGTTTAACACGTAGACTTTCGCGACCAATATTATTCATCATAAAGGTTTCTGGGTTAGATTGCGTCAGTATAAATGTGCCGTAACCCTCCACCACCCGACACAGCCAGTAAGGTTTGTCACGTAAACAACGCGCCAATTGGTCAGCGTTCTTCTTGGCTCTGGGTGAGGTTGTTGGATGGTGACAGAAGGGGGATCGGGACTTGAGCAGGCAGTGAGGAACATTGTTGAGGCCTGCATTGATGGGTAGGTGGTTGTCGTTCGCAAACTTCTGTGCAGTTTGCAAGTCTCTGCGGATATGTGCTGGCAGAATGTTCACCAAATCTGGGAGCCGAGGGATTGGTGTCGGTAGCTTTCTCGTGCCCCCCACTTGTTACGTGTCACCTTAACACAACTAATACCGTCATCTGGGCGAAATGGACGTCGTTAATGGTTTGAATCCAGTTATGCAGCTAAACACTGTGCCATCATCAGCAGCAGCAGCTTAATTAATCCACTGCGAGATAGAAGCCTCCAGAAGCCGTTACCATATTTTGTGAAGCTGCGATGTAACAATCCACCTATCAACTGCACGTATACGAGATGATTGCATCGCTCCGTCTCCTCGGGATGAGTACTCTCTCTCCCTCTCTCTTTTAAAGCGTTCCATTCCTTATCTAACACTTCGTCATTATTCCTTACCATTTGGACATATCAATCAATTCCTTCGAGTAACCCGTCCTGCCCAAGGCCACTGTCATTAGCACGCACTTTGTTTAGCCTTCGGCATTCAAACCCTAACTGTGATGATGGTGGACCGTCCATCAGCCTCTTACTCGGGTCGAGATACGCCTCCTCGTGAATTTAAACAAAAACAACCCACAATGCAAATGACTATACGATGGCAGAGGTTTGCCATAGCCGCAAATACAAAAAATAAACTCGCAAAATGCACCATTAACAACAAAAAGCGTGCAATATCATTTGAAATTGTAGAGCGTCCAAGTGCATATAAAGACGTTGTCTTATAGCGAGTAGACTTCACAGTACATGTAGCGGTACACGGAATTGGGCAGAACACATCGCGAGACGGGAATGGAGGCACCATGAGAGATCGGCGCTGTCGGAGGGGCAGAGGACTTCATCCAGCGGCGGAATGACAAAGGGCACGAGGCGACTCCGTCACTCTCATCTGACATGCGTTTCTAACTTTTACACAGTTAGTTATAAC